AAATACTTCTGCTGGAGTGAGCTCTTTCTTCTTGTCTGGTACATTGTGAATGGTATTATCATTCTATTGTGTTGAACTCATAACCTGTTGAACTAAATAGGTAGCTCGATACGCTGCCTCTGCGCAAAGTGCTGCAAATGTCAGATAGGAAGGATGGACCTGGTGGTTTGAAGGTAAGTTTCCAAGTAAATGCATTATGCTTATAGCTAGCTAATTATGCAAATCGTTATGAGTTTCATAACTCCTCCTGGTTTACTTAGGTACGACTTAACTTGTTTCCAACATATCTATCTTGTCAGTCCTGCCACGGTGCTGCTTTTTGATTGATAACAGAGGATGACTACCGTCAAGGAGGGGAAGCAGATAAGAGGTTCTATCTACGACAAAGGTGGGTAATCAGGCGACGATAGAGACGACGAGGAACCATCAGCATTTAGTGTGGTAGCAAGAAGGGAACGTTGGTGTCTTTCTTGTCCGGATTAAAATTGTCGGCTTGTGACCACGTGAGCGACATCAAGGTCGGGTAAGAACTGAAGAAGGAACATTTTAGATACGATACGATCCAATTTATTTTAAGTGTTTCGAGGGAAAGAAAAGAAAGTTTGACAACTTCTATGTGATCGCATGGTGGCATGGCAATTATGGATTGTTTCCTGTCCTCTCAAAGACTAAATTAAATTTTGATTTCGTTCCGAAACTTCAGTGCCTGTAAAAAGGCTGTTTAATATTACAAAAAAGCTGACAGGCTCGACAGTGGTTTGGTGATGACCTGCTGTTCCTTCGCTGCACCATACAGCAAGAAAAACGCAAAACAGTAGCGCTTCAAAGCTTCAGCAGCATTTTGCTTCAAGTGTGGCGAGTAATAAGATGCATAGACTTCCTACTCGCAAAGAGTAACCATGATAATGCTGATGGTATCACAACAGGCCACAAAGTGATAAGAAGCACTTCTCATCAAGTGGTGATGATGATAATGTAAGGTGATCCAGTCATCCTACGGTGACCAACTGATTGATAATGAATCATGGTGGTTTATTCTCCTACTGTACAGCACGACCTAGTGAGTGCCTGCTTCCCTGCTGCAACTTTTGTCCCGTGTTGGTGCTTGGTAGTGAGGGATGGATTGGGGGTAAAAAATACGTCATTGATTATGTTAGGGCTATCCGGATCTTGTTTTCTACTTTCTATGTTCAGTGAGATTGAAAATGTTTTATTTATAGAAGTGGATTGCTCTAATCAGGTGAAGCACAAACCTTAAACTTCGTATAAGATCATATCAAACCAGCCTTCCTTGACTTGGGCTAACCTGGCTTACGACCAACTTGGATTGCAACAATAGCTACAGTCCGCCTCCATTCATCTTAGTGGGGTTATCATCCGCTGTTCCCATTTAAACTAGACGCGGTTTCGTCGCTTCGTCTTTCTCAAAGCGACGATCACTTCCTATAAACAAATGGGGAGGGCCGGTGCTTGGACGCGATGAGGACGAAGCTGCAAATAAGCTTTGGGGGGGTAGAGGCGAAAGAGACGAGGTTGAAGAGGGAGAACCAGATGACAGCAATGATAAAGTCTGGGAAGAGAAGGTCATACTAAATACATCTGTGATTATTAGTATCGATTCGATTGTAGCGTGAGGTTTACATTGTAAAATGGAATACAATGCTGACGCATGTCCAACAGAGCCTCCTAGCAATACTACAGTCATTGCCACCGATGTGTTTCTTGTAGCTGCAGAATTAGACGCACAATGCGAGCGCAATTAAAGATTCTCACGGTGACACTCGAGGTGATAATTATTCAAGGGTTTGAACTCATTGTGGCAGAACTGTACAAAACGCTCGTTGGTGCAGCAGTACCAGATTTATCGATGGATAGCTTCAAGCCGGCTATCTTATAGAAAAGCTAAGCCCCTAGTGAGATAGAAAGATCGATGGTGTGTTTATAAGCGAAACAAGGTCGATATAATCCGCATGAACTATCTAGAGGCGCAGCTGCTGCCTCCACATTGTCCTGTAAACGATGCACCACAACGTATAAAAAGAAAAAGATATGCCTGCAGCGTTAAAGCAGACCTAATCTCCAAAGCGCCACCAGACAGAAAGAATGTTTAGTCAGCAAAGCATTCATACAAAAAAACTCATGTGCAAAAAACAGAAGAAGAATTCTCAAGAACCAAACGATTTTAAGAAATAAAGCTTGTTAAGTAAGAATTTTCAAATAGCGAAAGTATTTTTCTCATTTAAAAATAGTGATCTTCTGCTTCAAATTTTGCAAAAGGTTACGCCATTGCCGTCGAAATATATATATGAAAATGTGTTTTCAGATGAGAGGATTTCAAGTACTATTATAACAATTCGTGTTCTATTGACCCTATATTGGGATATTGTCTCGTTTTGCTTTGCAGTTTCGATCTGTAGCCCCTCTCGTGTAATAATAGAGCGTATTCTAACCCAGTGCTATTGCTACCAGAGTTCCGTCACAATAAGCCGTCTTGCTAATTTCTGCGACACAATCTGTTCGGCATCCTCCTTCGTGACGATTGGCCTGTGCAAAAACTCAGGGTGGTTGAGTATTGCCGTCACGATAGCTTTCTTTACGGCACGGCCCATGGCAAAACTGCCACACACATAAATGTAACCTTCATTTTTCAAAAGATGTCGCGCCACGAGCTCGCTATGGTCAAGCAATGCATCCTGAACATACTGTCGCAACAAACATTGATGCGACTCAGTCTTAGCGCTAACTAGTGTCAACGCATTAATTTACACGAACCCGTTTTGGACAGCCATGATTGTCTGAAAACTCCACGTGAAGTTGATTTAGCACACCAGAGTCTAACGCACGCTGCAACTCATTACCGTACAAAAAGTCGACGTTTGCGTCACGACATCCGTAAAAGAGATAAGCTGGCCTGTGCTGCTGGGAAGGCAATTGGTTTTCATGCTCTAAGTCTTGAAGAAATGCTCGGAACGGTGCGATTCCTGTACCCGCACCAACGAGCATGATAGGAAGTTTATTGTGGAACGGAAAAACAAAAGACGACTGATAAAAGCAAGCGCGAACCCTGTCACCCGGCTTCAACATCGCTAGGTACGTTGAGCACCGCGGTGGCGGCAGTGAACTTGTTTCGCGTAGACCCAATGTGATTGAAACGGTATCGGGGACAAACTGTCGTGACGACGATACCGTGTAGTACCGCGGAAAGTTATACGGAGCAATCTGAAAAAAGTCAGCAAAGCTCAAGCGCACTGAAGGAAATCGTTTAAAGACGTCCGCTATCGTTGCTCGATGGTGGCGTCTGTGTGAAAAAATAGTCAGCAAGCTCTTGAAACCATGATAAGTTCTTACGATTCAGCTTGAATGGCTTCAGCGGTTTGAGGTAACATCAACGCCGCAACGTCATTCTCTTCTGAGGCGTACGCGGCGAGATCGCGCAAAAAGCTGGGTCGAGGAGTCGATTCCAGGTCAAATTTCCACGTCAGCGCGTCGAGTACCGATCCAGTGCAGGCGAATGGACGATACTGAAACGTTTGGCGTTGTAATGAAATCTGCTGCTGACTTTTGTCTGTGGTGTGAGGAAGAGGTTCGGCTACATACATAACATTTAGATCTATCTCGCGCAAGTGATCAACCATTTGTTCCACCACAGAGAGGTCGTTAGGTTTGTAAACACCAATATTTGATGCGTGCACGCAAACAAGCTCTTGCTGATCATCCCGAACATTGATGTCAATGTGATGCACCGTCCGCAATGCTCCCTCCGTGGTTTTGTGCGGCGCGCTGATAACATTGTTTGCCTTGATCTCAAAGACAGCACGATCGTCATCTATAAGTAGCTTCTGGCGTGCAGTCAACAACTTTTCGTCATTTCTACTTGGATAAAGCGAAAGGTGATACTTAGGCGCCGGACGTTCGGGTTTTTTTCGCCGCTCCTGGCTTTGTAGACTTAGCTCGTAATCAAGAAGTTTCTCCTGCACACCATAAAGTAGCAATTACGGGTTAGAATTTGCTTGTTTTTGACTTTATTATAGCTCCAACTTGATAGTCGAGAAGTACACAATTTGGGCAATCCATGTGGCAACACTCGTCATCTTTTGGTTTAAGCGGATGTGTCATTGGAATTTCAGACACCGATTTTTGGGGCTTACAACGACGCATAACACCACAGAATAAATTCTATGCTTATCCACATTCGTTGAAGCTACAGAAACGCATGCCATACATTGTCTTTTCTCCGCTTGCGGGCCATATCTCGCTCAAACTCCATGAAGGCGTCCATTCCGTTGCTCAGGTACTGCCTCTGATCGCGCATCTTACTCCTTTTGAAAGCCCGCGCAAAATCTCTTATGGAGTAGCGTTCTATCGCATATTTCGCGGAGCGGCGCAACATTCGCTGTTTGGCGGGCAGTATGTACTCTTTGATACCCAGCAGCTTAGCGGTACCTTCGTCGTGTAATATCTAACAAGCTAATATATAATTTCAGAATGTTTTTCTTTGCAGCCAGTCAACTACCTGAGTACTAATCAGTGTACTCCATCATGCTCACTTCTGAGCTTTGTTACAGCAGGGGTTGTATGCACTTTGCTCAACGAGAGCTCCGACTCAACAGGTTTGCTTTAACTTATGGCTTCATACGATATACAGAGGAGCGAGGCTGAAAGCTTACAAAGTGATTGAGTACTTCGTTTGACACATATCTAGGATTATGTGTTGTATTATGCTTGATATAGATAGCCCTACAACTAAGCTTCACGAACCTCTCTTTCTCAATATCCCGTCATTCTCAACTATATCAAAATTTTCGTACCTTTGAGATGTGCCTAAACGGGGTTGGCAAGCACTTTGCACAGAAAAACTCTGACTCGGAGAGTCCGCGTGATATAATGGAGTTCTTGCGCTCTAATAAAGCGTGGAACTACTTTCGTAATAAGTTTTTTACTTGGCTCTGTCACATAAATAGTCTATATTTAGAACTACTTCTAGCTCAAATAAATACTTCTGGTCCAATTGTATCAAATACAATACGATACAGTTGAAATATTTGGTGTATATGTAAATTTCATAAGAATTGAAGTATCGGTTTATAAGAGATGCTGATACATCTGTTTCAGTCAGCACAACTGCATTACGAGAGTTAGTAGAAAGTATGTATTCAGCTTGACTTTAAATGAAATTAGCACAATATATATGTATTTGGAACAGCAGAGCAAACTAGACAATTAGTAACAGTAGATGCTCTAAGTATTACTATCTCTCAGTCGATGCTGCTTGCTGCACTGTGGCGAAACCCGTACACGCCTGTGTGCATTCCTTACCCAAATACAGAGCAAAATAAGCGCTTTCAAGTCGCTCTGTAAGCACTTTTGGATCGCACAGACCACATTACTGACTGCTCTTGGATCAGCAGCAGCAGATAGAATTTATACCTATGTACTTTGATTTCGATGTTGGTGAAAGTGCTGAACAATATCGTACTCTATTCGCGCATTGGGTGAGGAGGAAATCTCGCCTCACCCTTCCAACAACTTACCAGCAAACTTTAGTGAATCATACGTTCGATTGGAGTATTATCAGATGCTTGGCCTCGCGAGATACATGAATACGAAGTAGACCTCGAGGCGGAAACTGGCTGTCAAAGATAAATGATCTCTTATCTCGATGCTGTAGCAGTTCTAGAGCTCGAAACGATGTCAAGTGGCACTTGCTAAGGAAAACGCGCTGCAATACTACCTCATCACCAGGTTAGATGAAGGCCAAGGGTTTGCCAGGTCGTAAGCGGCAACAGCGTCAAGGTAATCTTGCTGAAGCGGAATCCCAAGCTTCCATATATTTCTAAAATGAGGCTAACCGTCCACTTCACAGTAAACTGGTAACAGCCTTGAGGAACTTGCCGGTCCATAATCCCTTGTTCATCGAGTAGTGCCAGAGGGGAGCAAATATTCCGTGACTGGCTCTCGTAAGAATTTTCGTTTATGGCAGCTTTTCGCCTTTCTCCTAGCGGCTTTGCTTGCGAGTAATACCGATAAGAATCTATTTTGGATGCGCTCTCCGAGCTAGGCCTTCGCACTGAGTGGCTCGAGGGATAGATTTAGATCAGCATCCTTAGTTACAAGGGATGCTTGAAGCACTTCTCGATCTTCAACAAAACACTACACATCCGACTGCCTGGTAAAAGATCCGGAGATAAATTCTAACAAGCCCATGTAGAACACTTAATGTGCTCTCGTGCTATACGGGGCATTGACATTTTACAACTCCTTTTTCGCTTCGACTATGAATGGTCCGATGTAATGTAATCACACGCATAAAATTTGACAGAGCTCAACAAATCATTTTCCTGGTTACAAACTTCGGTTTATTTCGCTCGCCTCTGTTTTCAACACGTTGTTTTGGCACATCCTGACTCTCTGCCATAGCGTCGCTTACCTGACGCATGATGTTCAGTCTCATCAAGATGAAATATGTGATTTGCTTTGAGGTGTAGACGGGCTGATCTCGGATGTCATCGATGGTATTTCACCCTCACACAATAGAGCCTCTTTTGAGCGTTGGGTATGGAAAAAGGGGTGGCAAAGTATAAATTGTGGGAAAGGCTAAAGGTGCATGCGCTCCGTTTTAACATTATATCAATGTGTAAAACAATTCGCTACATCGCCGCAGTTCTTTTCTAAAGTATCTAGGATATATCCACGCCCCCACCATTTCAGCCTGGATATATGCTGTATTCTGATTGGTAACGGTGTTACTGACAGCTACGGGATGAGTATCCTTGTTCATTAAAACCACAACTGGTATTACCTATTTTATCGTATCGAACACACAAACAAATTTCCTAGTCATGGTTTATTATTACAGCAGGGCTGCCATAGCTATTTGCTTTCTTTGCTTAGAGGAAGCGAGGCTAAGGTCACCGACCTTACACTCAATACTAAAACCAGTATGAGTATAGCGGATCGCAATCCGTTAACTCCAAGAGTATTAAACACCTTAAACCAAAGCAAATACACTCTTCCGTTCAAAATGTAAACTGTATTTCGTTTATTTTATTTGCGGCAAAGCCGCATATATCTAAATATTTATGTTTCTTAAATCAAATAGTAAAACCAAATTAAAATGCATAACTACTAGCAGTCCCACCATATAGCGGCTTCTTGTTCAGGTGTATCCACACCAACGTAGGGTCACACCATCTTGTGTAGCCCACTCCTTCATTCCAGGGTTCTTGTTACCCCGTTACACTCTACCCCATCAAAATTGTGAATACCCACAATTTACATTTAAACTGTCGCATCGTACGAGGCTCCGTCTCTTATACACCTTTTCGTCTCAGGACCTTCTTCACCCATTCTCTGCTCAATGAGTCCTGTGTCTATGACACAAAAGAAACTCAGCCTCGCTGGCTTCGTGAGCTTCTTCGTCTCCTGCTCGCGGTGCAACTCCGGACAGTAAGGCCGCGGTTTCAAGGGAAGCGCATCCCAGGCATTCGGCAACCTGGCGCTGCACACCGCTCCCATCACGGGCGACAGATACCTCGGCGAGGATTTGGAGGAAGGCGAATACGAGTCGGATACTCTTTCACACGGTGGGAAGAAGTGGAGGGCGAGGTGCGCAAACGGCGCGACGTGAGCCCTGGTCGAGCCTTGTAGACACCGTGTCCGTTTCCCGACGTCTCGACATCTGGGGGAAGTCGTAACATTACCAATCGCCTCGACGAGGCACATGCACAGCATTGGATTGCCCACAGGGCGACTCTCATTCACTCGCATCTAGGTCCTTGGCTTTCGTGTGGAATGCGGCTATCGCTCGTCGGATACCGCTACTGAAGCAAAGAACGCTCTCACTCAATCGTTACGCGTCTACATAGGGCCACTACACAAACCGAAATTGACCGACAAAAAACTCTCCGAGCTCGCTTCGTGAAATCTAAATGGTAGGTAACGTAATCGCTCAAAGAGAAGGCGCTCTTGTTCCTGCAATGCAAACTATTCCAGTGGTGCTCGCCCCTGGCGAGAATGCTGCAGAAGATGATAAGCTCTTTTGAGTGATGGGTGCAGCGGCACTGAATACTTCCCTCGCTGTCTACCTTACATTGGAACAAGGAGTTGGATGTGCGCATAGAACGCCATCTTCGGTTCGAGTTTGCCAATCTCAAGGCGCAACGCCGACTTCCTTTGTATTGTCGTCATGCGACATATGGATTAATCCACCACCTCCCGCTAGCTCTGTGGTCTCTCACATGGGTGAGTCTATGACCACAGCAGCTCAGGGTCATAGCTTGAACTCAGCTCATTGCCCTCCGGCTTCCTGGAATACTGCTGAGAAGCGCGGGGCACACGACGGCGCGGAGCGTCATGATCCTTCTATTCATAAGCGTCTACGACGCATGGGCAGTCTTGCCGAAGTAGCAACTCAAACTCCCACGATTCTCGGTGGTTGGGTATCCCCACCACTTCACAAGATACTGGGTTTTACCTTTTCGATGACGTCGACCTACAAGACGTTCCACGTGATAGTGAACGCTGCCGATCTCGTCGAAAAGAGTCGGCGGCGGACGATGACAACTCGGTCAGTCGCCGTCCGGTGACTCGCGATGCTCTTCGAGATCTTGAGGACAAGTTCCGTCGCCATCGGGACTCCGCTGAGGATAATGCTGAGGTTGCATACCGCTGTGCGAAAGACCTCAAGAGCATGGAGCACTTGGTGCACAGACTGCGCCTTTCGATAAATATCGCGCTCTGTCGGAGGGGCTCCTAGCCGACGAGCAGATAGATGCGTCGCTTCGTGCGACGGTGGAGCGCCTGGTTTCGTTAGAAATGGAATGGCTGCTTTCCGTGCTTAACCAGATGCTGGTTAAGCTTCTGGGAGGTCGAGCGCCTTTATGCGCCGCCCCGGCTTCAATGCTCCCGCTTTCACTTGTGCTGGACTAGATACGGCTTAAGCAACCCACATGAAACCCCGGGTGGATGCACATCCTTTTCGGAAAGTTGAGCGTATACGCAAGGCCCCTTTGGACACAAGCTTAAAAGGCCCGATAAACCGAGGATCGATCTTCATCTTAGACATCACAAACTGCATGTGCACGATCCACAACCAGCGTCACAGTACCGACATCGTCGATGGTGACACCGCCGCAAAATGAGCCATCTTGCTCAAACGGTCGACAAAGACCACCACATCCGTGTTGCCCGCCAAGTCCTTCAGTAGGCGAAACACATATTCCTCACTTATGGACTACTAATACCCAAAGGGTACCAGTAAACTGGCCAGAAGCGTCGCCGCATTCAAGGTGGGTTTCTTTTTATGACACGACT